GGTACTCAGTGCCATTCACAGCACTTCACAAATATTCATTCATTTAATCCTCAGAATGACTCCATAAGGCAGGTACTAGCACCATCCTTTTTTGTAGATGAGAGATCCGAGGCACAGAGAGGTTAAGCACCTTGCCCAAAGTCACACAGCAGGGTCTAGAGGTCAAGCTTTTTGCCACTAAAATATGTTAACGGGGGGCCTCGCTGCCCCTCCTGGAGACAAGTTGGGGTCAGGGCCGGCAGATGGGAAGATCACCCTCCAGGGCAGTGGGCCCTGGCTAGGGAAAGGGAAGTCTTCCTGCTATGATGGGGGCTGAGGTGGAGGGGTGCCGGGGTGGGGATTTGTGCAGCCTCTCTGGGGCCTGACCAGGAGGAGGAGGAGGAGGCTCGGTCCTGTCCAGCCTCCACCCGGTCCCTCAGGGCCATCCTAACAACCAGAGGCAGTTGGAACATTCTGTGGCTAGAGTCGCAGGGGAGGAGAGCTGGTGCAGCGGGGAATCACTGTGGCTTCCTCCCGCCCGGACCAGCTCATTTGCATACCCGACCAGCTCATTTGCATACCCCGCAGGGTGTGGCAGAAGTGACAGAGCAAACACTAAAGTAGCAGGCACTGCTGAAGTGCTTCACTTGTAACAGTCCTCGCCATAACTCTAGATGGTAGGGGCTATTATCACCCCCATAACTGCATCAGAAGAAACTGAGGCACAGGACAACTGCCTCGTCCAAGGTCACATAGCTAGGGACCGGTACGGGTGGGATCTGAACCCAGGGAGTTCAATGCCGGTTTCACTTTGGTGGCTCAGAGCGGTGGGCAGTCAGAATCCTCCCTCTGGGTTAATGTAGTGTTGTTCTCAGCACTAAATGAGAAAGCAGTGCCCAGTGTCCGGCACGGAGCACTTGACATTGAAAAATGTTCCACTGCTTCCTCCCAACCCTGATATTCCGTGGCTCCCCAAGTGGGGGCTGAGCTGGGCATCTGGACCTGTTCTCTCTCTCCAGACTGAAGCGGAACTATGGCAGGGAGAGAGGAGGGGCTCTAACTGGACCCTTCAGGCCTACTGCTGTTGCTTTCTGTGGCCAGAAAGGGGGCTGAGGGGAGCAGGGGAGGGAGTGGGTGGTTTGGGTAAGACTCGGGATCTGTTGGAGTTGCTGCTCCTGGCTCTGGCCTGATGCCCAACCGCCTGGGGAACTCACTCAGCAGACACAGGCAGGTGCCTCACCTAGAAAGCAGAGGTGGGAAGGAGGGCCTCAGCTACAGAACTCTGGCTAAGCTGCCCTGGATCCCACCCCGAGACCCACAGTACCAGGTTCTGGAAGGGGCTTCTCAGGCTCTAACCCCACCCCACCCCACCCATAGCAGGGTCACACTTCACGCTCTTAAGCACCACACAGTACGGGCTCTCCCAACACTCTCTTCCCCTTTCATGGGGACAGCAGAAGCCCTATGGTCTCCCCAGACTGGCTATGGGGAAACTGAGGTGGCGTTACCACCAAGGCTTAGTGGCCTGCTTGCCAATGCCCCTTTTAATAAGAGCCAATAGTTAATTGAGCACTTTTTATGTGCCAGACTCTTTCCTAAGCCCTATTCATGCTTTAGCTCACTGAATCCCCCGATGACCTTGAGGTAGGTATTATCTTTGTTTTCCACAGGAGTAAACTGAAGCACATCGAGGATAAGTAACTTACTCGAGGTCACACGGCAGCTAAGTGGGAAACCCTGGCAGAGTCCAGAGCCTGGGATCTCAAGCATGGTGCTCTGCTATGTCCCTTGACCTCGGGCTGCTATAGATATTCATCCAGGAGGATGGCACATTCCCTTCCAGGGCCATGCCCAGTGGCTGGGGCCCAGTGCTGGCCCCTGGCCCCCGGCCCAGCCACTTGGCAACACCCATTGGTTTCATTAATGTTTAGGGAATGTCAATAGTTTTGAGTGACTCCTGCATCTAGGCTCCTACCTCTCCTGCCTGACCAAAACCTAGAGCGCCTTGAACTCAGTCCTAGAAAGTTAGAGCAAGGAGGAAGCTTATAGCAGAGAGAAACTCAAGTCCAATTCCTCTCTGGACACATGGGTAAACTGAGGTCCAGGCAGCAGCCCTCCCCCAAGAGTCCTCAGCAGTGCCTGGGCCTAGGGCCTTGGACTTTTGCTCCTGAGCAAACAGGACAATTAAAAAGGTTTTTGTAGCTGAATCCTTCTAGCACAATGAGGGGTCACAGGCCGGAGCCCAGAGTAAAGGTGGGGCCAGGCTGGGATGTTCTGGCCACAGGGATTCGGGTTCACTTCCCCACTTAGCCCCGGAGGGATACTGCTCTGTGCCTGTCCTAACTTGGCCATGGTGGAGGCAAGGAACACCCACGTGTGCAAAACACATACAGACGAAGGTCACCTGCTGAGCAAACATTTTCCGGCCTCCACTCTGGGCTTGCAAAGCCAGATGCCTGCAGGAGGGGCCAGCAGGTCACGTAAATGAGTGAGCAGGCCAGAGGAAGCCCCAGGTGGGCTGGAGGGCAAGTGCCCTTAAAGGAGGTGATTCTTCGGCTTTGGCCTGGGGATGCCACGTCATCTGATTCAAGAAGATCCAAAAATCAGAACTCGTCTATGAAATCGTATGTTGTTTTCAACACTGGCAACAAATGCAAACACAAGAAAACGCTATTTGGATCACCAGAATGCGTCTGGAAGCTGTATTTTACCACAGGTGCTGTACAATGGGCTGGCCTCTAGGACGGACAAAGCCACCGCAGCGTGGACAAGACAGACCTGGGGTTCCGTGTCCTGGAGCCTAGGGTCTAGATGTGGAGACAAGGTCTCCCAGCACATGAGGACATGTGCTACTATCTCCAAGCCGCCAACCATCAGCCAGTCCAACTCAGCTCTGCACTCTGGGTCAGGCCAGTTCAGGTCAAAAGGGAAGTTGGAGGCAGAAGGCTGCTCCTGAGCCATCCTATGGCCGGGCTTCTCAGGTTGAGGGACCAGCCCTAAAGGAGGGAGGGAGTCAGAGGGCACCGAGGAGAGGAGCCCAAAGTAGAAGATGGTGAGTGAGGAGCGAGCTGATGGCTGAGAGGCCCGGGTTAGGGCCACGCCACAGAGGGTTTGGACTTGTGCTTTATTCCAGACTTAGTGGGGAGCCACTGCAGGTTAATGAGGAGGGGAGATCTTACTTCCGGTCCGCCTCTGGTCTTCTGATGGTTTTCCCTAGTCACAGTGACTCAAATCTCTGGATTTGGCCTCTCACTCCACTCCCTTGCCTGTGGGTCATATGATAAGGCCCTGGGCTCCTGGGAACCCAATGGAAATGAACTCCTTCAGAGAGGGAGAGGACACACCTGGGTGCTCCTCGTGGCCCAACTGTGATCTACATACTGCAGAGTGAGTGGCTCACTCTCTGTCATTTTCTCTGGGAGATGCCACATGCTTGTCCAAGGTCACCCAGTCTTCAGAGCAGCGGGGCTGAGGGTGGCTGCCTCAGCCGTCCTTGAATTTGCAGGAGGGGCTGCCAGAGGTCTGGCCGGAAGCACCCCCAACCTCTTCTCCTTGGTCACATCCTCTCCCATGGGTCAATGCCAGCAGAAGGTGGGGTGGGGGCACCTGGTATTGGGAATGGGGGAGTAGAGGGATCAGCCACCCACGCTCGGGGCCCCCAAGTCTAGAGCAAGAGGAGGACCAGGTGCTTCAGGTGTGGGGTCAGGACTGGTCAGCTGGACCTGACCAGGCCTACCTCCACTGGCCCAACCGCGAGTGGCCTGGGCAAACTGAGAGCAGCCCAGCGTCTTCCGACCCGGAGAGATCAAGAAAGGGGATCTGGATGATGTGGGGAAAAAAAGCCCTTGACTCCAGTGCCTGGCACATCACAGACACTAACTAAAGGTTTGTTAAATAAATAAATGAACAAAGGAACTCCCAGTGGGGCTACCTGTACCAAGTCCTGCCTTCCTCAGCATCACTGCTTGCCTGCAGAGGGCTCAGAGAGAAGAGACTGGGGGAACCCCAGCACCCCAGAGTGTTCCCTCAGCACGGTCCAGCCCCTTCTAGGGATCTCTGATCCAGAACTTCAGGGTACAACATCCCTTGGGTGCTCGTCTTCCCATGAGCTGCGGGGCCTGGGGTTCGGGACCTCACTGAGGGCCGGCCTGGGTCACTGCTGTGTAGAGCCTGGAAAGCTAAAGCAAGGACCTAGAATGGTCCCTTGGTTGTCCAGGACACACGGATCCAACCTGAGGTTTGGCCCTGGGTATTATGGAGATCAGGAGGAGAAGGGAAGGTCTTGGGATTGCTGGCCCCAGGGCACATGGGGACAGAAAGGTGCCCTGACCTGAAATGGCTTCTTTGTCCAGACTACCTCTCCTCCCCAGAAATCACTGCCTCACTTTGAAAAGAGCTTGCCGCCTCCTGCAAAACATACGAAGTATGACTTGGGGGAAGCCCCTCCCTGTGGCCTGGGGTGGGGGGGGGCAATGGAATCGCAGAGAAAATAGAGGATTCCCACCCATTCTCTCAAACACACCCCTTCCCTGCCCTCTCACAGACAAAGACACACACCCAAAACCTCAGCCATCACCCTAGGGCCACATGCCACAGACCCCCTAACCTGTGGACATCCCCAAATCTTCCCTTCCCAGGGGGGACTTCACTTGAGAACTCAGCCTGGCCTGGGGGGGAGGGGTAAATATACTCCAAGGACTGAGAGTCCAACAGCTCCGGGCTCACAGTTTTTGGAGGGACAGGGGGAGGCTCTCCACCCTCTTCCCCCCTCTCTATGGCACAAGGGGCTCTACCACTACTCCCCCGTGGGGCCCGGGAGCAGCGCCCAAACCCCAGGGCTAGGGTGTGGGGTGGGGGAAGGGAGAGGAGGAGGGGGCGGCTCCTCCGAGCGAGACACAAAGAGACGTCCTTCAGCCTCGGCTCCATGGCGACGCTGGGGAGGGGGCAGTGTGCACCCAATACTTCCTTCTCCACCTGCAGGGTTAGGGACCTCGGTGGCCACTCACCTGGGCCCGGCTTACCTGGGCTGGGGCCGCGGGGACGCCGCGGCAGGGGGCCTGGGCGCCGTCTCGGTTTCCGTCAGCCCGGCCCGGGGGGGGCTCAGGGCGCCACAACCATAGGCTGGGATGCGAAGGGCGCCGCGAGGGGCTCAGTCGCCCGGGTCCTGGAGCTTTGAGGGGGGCCCCGAGGCTTCTTGCTGGTGAGGGATAGCTCTCGCGCTGTCCTCAGTTCCCTAGATTTGGGGTTCCTGTGTACCGGAATTAGGGGGTCTAGGAACCCCCTGATCTAGGGGCGTTCTGAGCTGGGTCTTCGTGTCTTGAGGTGTGGAGTTGTAATGACCAGGTTCTTGACGGGGGGGTGTCCCAGCAATCCCGGACGGGGGGGGTCACTGCGTTCTAGGTCTTGGGGGGGCCCAGATTGAAGAGGGGGAGTCTTAGCCGTACCGTAGGGAGGTCACTGTCTTCTGAATACGGAGGAAGTCTCCGCTTTCCCCAGCAGGGGAGTCGCTCTCTGTTGGATCTGGAGGGGTCTCCCGCTTTCTTGGGGGTCTCTGGGTCCTGGATGTGGTGGGGGGATCCCCGCGCTCCCAGGCTGCGGGGGCTTGCTGAGTCCCGGCCACCGGCAGGAACTGGGAGGAAGCCCCTCAGCCGCTGGGGGGCTCCGTTGCCGCCGCTACGAGCAGCCCGGCCCTGCGGTCCCGGACCCCGGCCTGGTCCGGGCTCTGGCTGCGGCTCCGGCTCCGGCTCGCGATCCGCCCGGTGCTCGGGCCCCGGCCCCGGCGCCCGCCCGGGCAGCGCTCCATCGCTGCATCGCGGCTCCGCCCTCTGGCCCGCGCGCACCTGCCCGCCTGGCCCGCGGCTCCGCCCTCCGGCTCGCGCGCCGCCGCCCGCCCCTTTGTCCGCCCCGCTTGGCGCGCGCTCTCGCGCACGCGCACTCACCTCGGCGCGCGCTCGCCCTCCCGCCGCGCCCTCTCGCCGCGCGCCGCGGGGCGCAGATTCTCCCCGCGCCGAAGGAGCGGCGCGCGGCGCCCCCACCCCGCCTTCCGGCCGCGCTGGGTCCTAGCGCCCGTGGGCTCCCTTCCATCTTCCCACCCCCGTCTTTTCTAGGTCAGAGCCCACGAGGGGGCGAGAACGAGGTTAGAGAGGACTCGGGGGAGTCTGAGAGGGTCACCTGGTCCAGCCTCCTGGCCCCTGCGGGATCAGACTGCCCCAGACTGTCCCAGTCTGTTCTTGTGGGGTGGAGCATGTGTCTGTTTCAAGGAGGGAAACAGCCAAGCTCTGTTCTGCAATCCCGTTTGCATTCATTCATCCGTCAGTCTGTCCTGTCTGTCCGCTCATCCATCCATCCAGAGCGAGACTGCGGAGAACTACCAGTCTACTCAGGGAAGAGGTCGTGAACTGGGGCCTTGGGGGCCGCGCGCGACCAGACTAGGTCGTTTTTCGTGACCCCCGCTGTGAACAGTGACTAGTCGTGGGATGCAGCTGATCTGCACAGTGCTCACCAGAGAGAAGAGAGGAAAGGGGATTCCGACCAGAGAGAGCAGCGTGTGCAAAGGCACGACCTGGGTGTTAGAAAGGAGCATTGTCGGATGCTGATGTTTGGCGGCCTGGAAGGAAGCGGGGGACATGAGGGTGGAGATGAGATGGAGACCACCCATCCTCCCAGACCCTATTCCCCCTCTTTCTCAGACTCCTCCATGCAGCCCCAGCCACACTGTTTCATTAAAGAAAAAGCCCCCAACACACCCGACACCGTCCCTATTTCTTCTTTGTTCAGGCTGTTTTCTCCACCTAGCATACCCTTCCCCACCACTCTGACTGTGTCTAGATCATTTTGAACAAGGGATGGCAGACTCATGTATCTATAGATCACACAAATTAGTGACTAGGGTCAGGCCTCAGGTGACAGGAAGTGGTGAGATGAGGCAAACTGGAGCATCATGGGCCTGTCCCGATGATCTTTGAAAGATGATCTTTCAAGAGAAGCAGGAAATCCATATTCTAACAGAGCGTCTTCCAATTTTTCCATATTTGAAACCAATCCCCAAGTTCGGAAATAGTGAATGGACCAAATGAAATGTGCTTAGGGCCAAATCTAGACCATGGGCGATTATTTTGGGAACTCTGCTTCTGAGAATGTTGCCTAAGTTCCCAGCTTTTCTCCCTCCTGCTTCTGTCTAGACGGTTTTGTTCTAGAATCCAAGTATTGTGGGACCATCAGCTCTGTGAAGCACTAAGTGGATTCGGTTGCTCCTCTGCATAACATTGCCGAGGACGCCCTGTTACCTCCAGGGCCAGAAATCTAACTTCCCTATCCTGGTGTTCAGACCCCGTAGCCTTTGGGGCCTCTACCCTTCCCTAGTGAGGTCCCCTCTGCTCCATTAAGCCTTGACCTTAGCCAGCGTTCCTAGAATATGTGCTTTCTCAGACCTCCGTGCCTTCTACACTTGGTTTCCTTTGGGTAGAACACCTTTCCCCTCTTCTTTGTTCTCCATACAAGTTATCCCCGCCCCTCCCCACTCCAGGTTCTCTTCTTTGTCTGCCTTTCCTCTCTCCCCCCTCCATGTCCTGCCGATGGTCCAGAGTTTCAAATTTCACCCTTTGTTCTATACCTCTCCCAGTAAGGCCTTATTGCCCCAAACAGACTAATGGAGGGGTTTAAATTATGGGGCAGGCAGAAGCAGGAGGCTGGAGAGGGAGAAAGAGGGAAGGAAATGTCTTCCTGTGTCTAGTAACCGAGTCCCAGAACATTCGAATTTAGAGTGCGTTGTCCTCTTGTTACAGACGAGAAAACTGAGGCCTAGAGAGGGACAGGAGCAGAAGCTGGCCTTGAAAGGCTTCCAGCCATGGTGATCAAAGGTTATCAAGGCCACCTTCTGCAGAAGTCTTCCCTCATTCCTGGCCTGGGGATTTGATTACCCACAACGCAATTAGAAAATGTTTGCCAAAATGAATTGTGGGTATTCAAGTCTGCCCCTCTGCAGGGTGAGATGTCCTGGTCCCCAAAGGGGGCACACTCTTCTCAGGGGACACATCCAGGGACCCCTTAATGTTTAAGCTGTGGCTGCTGCCAGGGCACTTTGGGCTCCGTGTGTTTGGAACCAGCAGGCAAGAAGAGGAGTCACTTCCTGGCAGTAATAATTGACCCTAATCCGTTACTAGAAGTTACTAGAGAAGTACCCTATGATTAGTTACTAGAAGAAGGCAGGGCTGCTTTTACAAAGTGGGAGCAGGAAGAAATACAGGTGGAAGTCAGTAATCCATTGGAGTGATCCATTGGTTATGATAACCAAGAGTTTAGACCCCTCAGGACTGAAGGGTTGGGTCACACCCCTGGGTGATCCATGGAGACCCGCCAAGTTGAGAGTGTGGATAATTAAGAATGGGTAGTGAAGGGGGAAAGGACCGGTACCAGTCCTGGCCCTGAGATCAAGTACAATGAGGGGGAGGGGCTGTAGTTCATTTCACCAACCACCCTCTTCACAGTTTCCATTTAGAAAGAGAGACTCCTGCGGAGCTGTGTGGCCCGAGGGGTGGGATGTGGCAGTCATGAAAACGCACCATCTAGATCTCTGACCGCCCAGGGCAGCAGCAGTGGAGGCTCTCCAGAGCTCACGGAGAAGGCTGGCTCCACTTTGCTTCCTTCTAGCTGATCCCAGTCAGTGACTGAGTGCCTCGAAGACACTAAAGCGCCCAGTTCCTTAGAGACACAGAGCTTCCCTGATGGGCAGCTGGGGATCAAGGACTTCCCATTGGCTTCATCAAAACTTTCTTAACATTCTTTTTTTTTTTTTTTAAGATTTTATTTATTTATTTGAGAGAGAGAGAGAGAATGAGAGAGAAAGCACATGAGAGGGGGGAGGGTCAGAGGGAGAAGCAGACTCCCTGCCGAGCAGGGAGCCCGATGCGGGACTCGATCCCGAGACTCCAGGATCATGACCTGAGCCGAAGGCAGTCGCTTAACCAACTGAGCCACCCAGGCGCCCCACTTTCTTAACATTCTTATCCCACCTTCCTTCCTTTGTTTCCTCTTCCAAGCATTGGATCTATTGAGGCTGATGGTTTGCCCGGCCTCCCCTGGCTCCCTTCTGATTTTCCTGCCCAAGCGTTTTCCCCAGTAAGATAGCTGCTTGCAGCGTCTGACCCCATCCTTGGCCCACTTCTTGGAGGAGTGAGCCTTCACAATATATCTGAAGAGAGGAACTAAAACAGCTATTCATAACGCTGCATTCCTTTTTCCTTGACACCTGCGGATAATCCACTCTTGATAGCTCAAACTTTTGTATCCAAAGCAATGCTGCCCTTCCAGAGAGGGTCTTAATGGGTGTGATCTGGATAGCAGAACACAAATATAAAACGTAGCTCTGATTTCCATAACAACACAGAAGAAACATCAGAAAACAGATGTCCATTTAGGTTTCCTCAGCCTGGGACCCACAGCCTCTCTGATGCTGGTGTGGACTCACACTGGCAGGCAGTCAGTTTGCCACTCCGTGCTCAAGGAAGCTTGTGGGGCCAGGAATCCATTCCAGGACATCCCTTTGGCTGCATCTTGTGTTCATTAATGTGTCAGAAGTTTCTGCTACTGTTGTGGGGGTTGGGGAAGGAATCAAAACAGAGTCCCTGTCCTCTAGAATATATACATCACGTTTCAAACTATATGAGTTTGGGTGACTACTAGTTGTACTGAAATTGAGGTGTTGGCCATATTGGTAGTCCCTATGCTGGGGAAAAATGATGGCATTTGTGGGGATTTCCCCAGTGTGGTCTATGTTCTGTGATGCTCCTTATTGCTCACATTCCCAGTCATGACAAAGAGAAGGCATTCCTGGCTTGTTGGTCCGCATTACGGTAGTGCAGGAAGCACCCTCTGCCCAGATGGCCACCATCATGCCCGGGCCATCAGCATGGCCAGAGACCCTGGTGGCATTGGTGACTGAGTAGTTCAGAGAGCAGATCAGGTTTAGGAAGTTGAAGACCATGACGACATTCTGAGCAAAGGTTATGGAAGCTCTTCACAGCCAGGAACAGGAGCATCCAGTGCCCCTGGGAGACACAGGTCAAGCTATTGCCAATAACAAAAACCAACAGTTCCACCAGAACGCAAGATGGATCAGAAGGAAGACGGCAGGACAGCCCAGGATGGACAGCAGCTGGAGGTGATGGATCTTTAAATCTCTCATTACCTTTATGGAGAATATATTCTGAAGTGAGAAACACAGTGTTCCAGCAAGAGTCCTGATGAGTCCCCACCTCCCGTGTCAAAATACAACACTGCGACCGCAACCAGCAGGATGCCACTGATGATGGGAAGTACAGTATAATGGCAGTGCAGAGAGGAAAGAACCCGCTTCTTTATGACATTGCTGAACTGCTGAGTTGTACTTGGAGCGGCTTTGAAGGGAATTCTGCTCCTTGTAGCTGAAAGCTTGCCAACGGATAGGAGAAGAATATCTCTAAAATCATGAGAGTGGTTGCTCCTGGAGATGGAATCTAGGAAATGGGCCCGGGGTCAGGGTAGATAATGGGAATTCATTTTTCTGTGTCATGTTTTTTTTTTCTTTTTCTTTTTTATTAAAAATATCTGATACGGGGGGCGCCTGGGTGGCCCAGTCGGTCGAGCATCTGACTCCTGGTTTCGGCTCAGGTCATGATATCATGGGTGGTGGGATTGAGTCCAGCTTTGGGCTCTGTGCTCAGCGGGGAGTCAGCTTGAAGATTCTCTCCCTCTGCCCCTCCCCCCACTTGCATGTGCTCTCTCTCCAATGAATAAATAAATCTTTTAAAAAAATATCTGACACAAATATGACAAAA